TACCAATTTTAGCTGAATACAAAATAAAGAGCAAGTTTTCTACTCTTTTCCATAAAAATAATGAAAGCTTTAAAGCTCTTTTAAAATGCGCCATGTTTAAATTGTTCAAATGGTGTACTCGCGGGGTGTTACGTGCGAACATATGCATATACACATATACGTTGCGCTTGAATGTATATTAGGCTTGACAAAACCATGTGCTTGCCTGCCTGCTCTTTGCCTCTGCTTGAGATCAGTGTAACTATTTCCTGTTTGGTGTTCCAACTCTGGCACTATTCAATCGAACAGAAGAAATTTTAAAAAGAGGTTAAGGAGGGCACACCAAAATAGGCGCATGGCATGTGTGCATACTTCTCCTAAGAGGATATATTACCCCTTTCCCCATTGTACGTACATGCTATTTTAAAGAAAATGGCAACACGTGGCGGAAAAAAGGAAACGAATTTAAGAACGCAAAAGTGACCAACGAAAAGGGAAAAAAATCATTTTAATGCTTCAAAGTATACCCCTAAAAATAATTAACGACGCAAGTACAAATTTGCGCTTTAAATGAGAACTTCTGAAAGTGCCCATTAAAAGTAGTACTTATATAGACACCCTCTAATAAAGCGGCCTGTTGAAAATGCACAAAAAGGAGGAATAACGCCACATTAAAAAAAGTTATCCACTTTCATCCCACAGCTCTATTGCGAATAGGTTTTCCATTTAGTCTCCCACCGGCGTGTATGCCTCAGGATGCACAGATGCTCGTGTGTTTAGATTAATCCTTTACGTGTCATGAGCCCAATTACACAACTCTAAGCGAATGCAAAAGAAAAAAACTTCCTTTAAAGAGGAACCTTTCTAACTTGTTCAAGATGTAATGGGGTCATAACATTTTTAAAAAGGACCCAGAACTACTAGGTGGCTAAACAGAATAATCACGACCGTAGTCATGGCCGCATTGGGGGAGCAAAACTGTAGCAATTTTCAAGTTCTTCATTTTATTTGAAAACAACAAAAAAAAAAAAAGTTGTAAGAATTCAAAATGAGCGATACACGCGCATCCGAAAGGTGCGCACAATCAAAATGACACAAACGAAGAGGAAAAGTGGGCCACAGGTACACACAGGTAAACATATACATATGCACATTACGAATTACGGCTTCCACTTTTCCTATTAAAAATGCAACTTATAGAACAAATTAAAGATGAATGGAGTTAATTTTAAAATGAAAAAATTAATTTGCCGTGCATCCTAATCTATTTAAAATACACGGCTTTAATTATGCGTCCACTTTTCCCCTTAATTCGAACGCATCCACAAAGACATAAGCAATGGGGAGCTATGAAGTTCAGGCAGCGGGGTTGCGCGACAAGACGGGGTTGTACGCGTCAATGTGCAGCTTTATACAACCCTACGCCGCTTGTCAATTTATGCATAAAAAGAGGTCTCTCTCCCCCAAATTAATCAAACAAACATGCAATTAATCGCACGCCTTTTTTTATACGCTCCCCTTAATTATTTTAAAAAAAGGGGAAAACAGACAAACATTTCCAGCGCAGTGTAAGATGCTAATTTTTTGAAACACATTAATTTTGGCTCCATAAAATGTAGCTTCATCCAACACTGTACAAATATACTGCCATAAAAACAAATGAAGAATTTTGCACTTTACAAAAAAGATTTCCGTTTCCTTGAGCACTCATACACCAACATTTTAACATATGTACACGTTTGTAAGTCCTGAAACGGTTAAGTATGCCTTCTGGATTGAGTTTGAAAGAAAAAAAGAAAAAAAAGGGAGAGACTGGGGAAGATGCACAACAGGGAGAATTAAACAGTGTCACGTCTGTCCTACACTCTTTTGTTTTAAGAAAAAATTTATAATAACATCACGATAGGATATCCAAAATAGTTTCACCTCGCCTAGTTGTTCAATATTGCTTCTCTTTTTATTCCACCATTTTGTCTTCGCCCACGAGTCCACTTATCTCATCGTTTATTTTGTCCTCAATTTTGGTACTCGCGTTCGTTTGGCTCTCGATCTTTGGACCCTCTTCCAGGTTCGCCTCAGCGGTTATATCTCCATTCGGTTTTTCATCGCAGTTTAGTCCCTCTGTTAACCTAGTCACGTTGTTTACACTTCCGATGGGATTATCGGCCCCTAACCTTGTCTCGTTGTTTACACTTCCAATGGGTTTTTTCTGCCATAACCTTGTCTCGTTGTTTACACTTCCATTGGGGTTTCTTTGTCCTAACCCTGTCTTATCAGTTACATTTCCAATGGGGTTTTTCCCACCTAACCTCGTCTCATTCGCACTTCCAGCCGAGTTTTCCCTCCTTTTTAACTGGCCCCCCAAGGCACATCCATGCGACACATTTGCTCCCTCTGTATTGATGCCATTCCCGTTTTCCTTTAAACCTTGTGCGTTCTCTGCCCCCCTGTCATTTTCCCCCAATCTGGTATTCGGGATAGGCGTATCTTTCTGGTTGCACAAACGGATCGTGGGCTCACATAGGACTTTGTCCCCATCCGAGTTCCCCCTTTTTAGGGAAGCCCTACTCTGTATGTCCTGCATTAATTTAGTCCTCAACTGAAACATGGAGCTCTTGGCGTTATCATTTTTTCTGACTATGCCAATGCAGCTTTTAAGTCTGTTAATTTTTATCTTCCCATTTTCTTTCTCACTCTCTTTTGTTGCACCTGGTTCTTTTGTTAATGCTTCTTTGCTTATCGAGGTAGAATTTTTAGAGTTGGGTAGAATTTTATTTTTTTTTTTCCCAAAAAAGGTGTAATATTCATCTAGTAAATTTTCATCATTTAGCATTATGGAAAACTTTTTGGGATTGGCCAAGATTTCTTTGTAACACTTGGTAAAATTGTCCACGATAGAGGATAATATAATAAATATGCTTTCGAGGTTGGGACTTTTTGACATATCTTCCCCCAAGTAGGTACCCAACTGCTGCACAGATTTTTTGGTTTCTTCGTATCTCTTTTGCGCATTGGCATACTTGGTTTCGCTGTCTTGTAAAACATTTTTCATTTTTTCTTTAAAAACATCTTCATAGGTACATTTCAACTGCTCTCTGATGTAATTTATTTCTTTATCGAGTGAAGCTAGCAGAATATCCACCGTTTCGGAGGACATTTTGGAGGCGACTGAAACGGAGTTTAGGTCATTTTCTAGAAGATTCATATTTAAATCTGGTAAATATGTACAAAGACTAACAGTGATATAGTGCAACGACGTGATGGTATTATCTATGGACGATTTAAATTCGGTTAGCTTCAACATTGATGATAGGGTAAACCCTAGGGCGACTAAATCTTCATTTTCATTAACACCATAGTTGACATAATTGCCCCATTTGAGAACGGCCTTCAGCAAAGACCTGAAGCGTATGCTTGATCGTACTTCCTTTACAGCTTTGTCATAGGTATCCAAATCTTTGTTTATTTCATTCAACATTTTTTCATATTTTACTGAAAATAGACAAATTTCTATCTTACATTGACATTTGTCCATATAAACAAATGGAATTAGCTTCCTTTCAACATCTCTGAATTTTTCTTCTTTTACATTCTCATTTTCCAGTTTTTGTAAAATGCTATCACTTTCTTCCTTCGTTGGTAAAATGTGCAATAACTTTTGCAAAAACTCTGTATTCATATTTTCAAGGTCGAATACGCTTATCTTCTGCACAATTTCTTGGGTACTCATTGGAAATCGTAACAAGATTCCGATATTCTGAGCTCTTGTTCTATCCAAAACGGTTATTAATTTTTCTTCGCTGCTTTTTTTCTTCTCTTCTGTGATTTTTTTTACAATTTTCTTTTCTTCTTTTACTCGAGCGAATAATTTGTGAACAGCTTTTGTGTCTATCAGATTATACTTTGCTTCGTGACTTTTTATTTCATTAAAAACGGTTCCTTCAATTTTGTGTGTTGGTAATAGTTGCCAGTGTAGTTTAATTCCTAGAGGTCTTTTTTCTTGGATTTTCACGCACTTCTTCGTTGCAGGATTCATTGGGCATTTTTTCATTCCCATTTTGGCTTTTTCTCCCATTTTGCCTTTACTTAACAGAAATGGGGGTGGGGGAGGAGGAGGTCCTGGTATTTTCTTCCCCATTTTTTTGGGCACCTCTAGCTTTGTGCTACTTTCTTTTTTTGTATCCCCTCCTGGTTCCTTGCCCTCAGCCGTTGCTTTCGAAGGGGGTCTTTTCTGTAGCGCGGGTGGCAGCGGTGGAGGCGGTCTTTTTTCCTTCGCTTTCTTGAGGAGCGCCTCCACGGTCTTTGACTTCCTTTGACCCTCGCTCGCCGGCTGCTTGAGTGGTTGCTTGGCCAGTTGCTTGGCTGCTAACTCAGGGGGTTTCACTACCACGCCTAGGTCGACTTTGCCGTCGATTTTGCCGTCAATTTTTTGGTCCATTTTTTGCCCCACTTTGACCTCAATATTTTCCCCCATTTTGACCTCCACTTTTTCCGCCGTTGGCACCCCCCCCTTCGATATAGAAGCGAGGGGGGGCTCTACGAGGGACATGGAATACCTAGACATAGTCGACCTATCACTTTCGACACTCAATATGGATTCAAAACTGTTCTTTTTCATAATCATTTGGTCATACATTTTTTCCAAATCGTTTATTAGACAATCTGTATTAGCGGCCTTCTCCAGGGTAACGTTTTCATTTTTATGAGATTCCTCCTTCATACCTAAGCCACTCATTGCACCTGTAAGCTGTCCTGAATTATCCACAGGTTCAATCAGCAGAAGAGGCATACTGTCGTATGTACCTAACTCGTTCGTGTCCTTTACTTTTAATTTTACCAATTCTCCACTGGGCAATTTTGCGTAAAAAAAATTACTTTCTCCTATTTTTTTTAATATATCACTTTTGGTGCTAATCTCTTCTATCCCTTTTGATGGCTCGTCTTTTTCCATCATGCTTTTCAGAAAACTTTCATTGCCCTCTATAGTTTTTTTTTTATGTCCCTGGACCTTTTCCTTTTCGTTTTTTCCGAAATCTGGTTGCTCTTTCGATTTTGCAAAATTTGTTTCTTCCCTTATTTGGTAGTATGCCTTGTTGATTTCCATTCTGGCAATTTTTATTCCGTCTATGTTTGTGAACACTTCGGAGCAGCCCTCGTTTTGCACCTTCTGCGTCGCGGGGTCCTCGGGTTTGCCCGGACCGGGGGCTTCATTTGGTTCGCCTCGTGCAACTTCATTTGGTTCGCCGCGTGTAACTTCATTTGGTTCGCCGCGTGTAACTTCATTTGGTTCGTCGCGTGTAACTTCATTTTGTGTACCAATTTTCCCATCACTTGTTTCTTCCCTTTTTCCGTCCCTTCTTGCTCCACTGGTCGGGCTCACCGCTTCGCTCTCCCTGTAGTGATGCAGCTGCTTCAGGTGCACGACCTTCACAGGGTCCCTCGTCCATTCGAACGTCTCCTCCAAGCGATGGAAAGAGCTCACTTTCCTACACGGTTCCTTCGAAAGTATCACTTCAACTTCCTCATCTGCCGTTACCTGTTCATGCTCCTTAAACAGATTTGCACTGTCGTCCAATTTTTCGTAGACATCCACGTGCGCACAACTGATATTAGTATTGTTTAAATGATTTCCATGCCCTTCTGACTCAGTAGGTGTTTTTATGCCTACATCATGGGGGATGATTTTTTTAAACTCCTCCCTAAATTCCGGGAGCTCGTTCAAAGTTGAGGAGTATCTAATGGAACTTTTTTTTTTTAAAATGTTAATTCCCCATATGGAGACAATAAAATTGAGAGACTTACTCAAATCATTGTTGCACAATTTTAAGGAAAAATAAATTTTCAAATTCGACAAATGAGTTATTTTTTTTAAATACTGTACGAGAGGAATGTTTACCTTCAAAACATGATTCTTCACAAAATTGTACATACTCTCTGTCGGGTTGGTAATTACTTCATATTGTCTCTGTAAATAATCCTTTAAGGAAATTAAATTTGAAAAGGATCTTTTGGAGGACAACAAAGAACATACGTTTTGTTTTTTTGTTAAAGAATATTTATCTTCTCTATTTTTAAAACCGAAGAGGGACGTTAACAGTTGCGTAATGTTCGTAGCGTTGTATTTTATTTTGGACTCCTTTTCGCTGAAAATTGAGTAACCATTATAATTTATCTTCGAATGGAAATCCATTTGTTTGCTATTGTTAAAGTTTAACTTGTTCCTTGATTCCCTCTGCCCTGGTGGCGAGTAACGCGCGTGTTCTCTACGTTGCTGTGGTGTCCGTTTTGTTCCTCCCATGTGATGGGTGGACTCGTTTGTCTCGTCCTCCTCATCATCATCACCCTCATTATCGTCTACTTTTCCTATTTTCTCCCTTCTGCACTTCATTACATTGTGGTCGCTTCTTCCCTTCCTCCATTTGCCTCTTCCCTTCTCCTCTTCTTCATCTGAATCTTCTTCTCTTCCTCCCTTTGTCCTCCTTCTGCCCTTACCCCTGACGATTGTCTCTCCCCCATTGTGACTTCCCACATCAGAGGTCGAAAAGGCAGTCCCGCTCCCTCGCAGACAATACTCACCACACTCGGAATCATTCGACTCGAAGGATTTATTTTTTTCGAAAATTTTCAACGATTTCAAATCTTCCATTTTGTTATGACTCTTTAAATTTCTTTTGTACGCTTTCATGCAATCACTTCTGTTAGCGGAGTCCAAAATGATGGACAGTTTCATGCCATCCGGAATATAGCTTTCGTAGTTGCTGTTAATGTCCATGTCTTCTTTCCTTATGTGGAGAATTTCAGACGAGGCCTTCTTTAAAAAACCAGTATGGAAAGAATAAGAACTTGAAAATCCTTTATGAAATTTTTCTATATTTTTGTGTCCAATTAGTATGAGAATATCTCCACATATGATGTGCTCCTTGGTATTCCCTTCAGCGTCATGTGTGAAATCGATTGTCACATATTTTTTTTTGTTCTTCTCGTATGACGACACGATGTTGTAACTTAGGTTGTTACATTTTAAAAAGTATTCATATCCTGATTTCTCATAAGATGATCCTTTATTTCGATCTTCCCCTTTTTTCTGGTTTCTTTTTCTATTTTTCTTTAAAAAATCGTAAATTTCTTTTTCCTTCCATTTGGTGTCTTTCTTATGTTCCGCTGCTCCTACTTCGGACACATCGCAGGTGGGTGTATTCATCACGTGCGAGAGCGGTTCATTCGATTCGGCCGAGCTCTTAATCTTCTTCTGCGGAAACAATGTGCACGATTTGGTCTGCATCTTCGTCTTTATCTTCTCCTTCGTCTTCATCTTCACTTTCGTGTTCATTTGCGCGTTGGTAGTTATCTTCTCTTTGGAGCTTCCCCTTTGAATATTGCCACTGCCTGGAATGCTCTCATTTTTGTATCTGTACATTTGATCTACCGATGTTGGTTTGGGCGAAACTGAACTGAGTGATCTGGGAGAATAGTACTTCCCCCCATGCTGTCTTATTTTGTGTGTGGTGCGGCCATTTCCTCTGCGTAGGTAAAACGGAAGGCGCTTCTCGCCTCCTTCTCCCTCCCCCGGTTTGGCCTTCAGACTTCGTTCATAGTTTGGCCCACTAGACGAATTTGCCGAGTTGGACAGATTCCATCGATGCGATCGATTCTCCGAAATTGACCGATTTGATAGATTGGCGGTATTAAATACCGTCTCCTCGCACCTGTCACTGCACTCATTTGAGCCGTTCCTTAATCTGCAATAAGAAGATATTCTCTTCAATTTATTTCTCACGCACGCAGTTGATTCGTAGCTCCTATCTATAAAAATGCTGTTCGCGTTGAGATCACCCTTTGGTACGCTTAAGCTGCTAGCGGCTCCACTTTCGCCATATAGAATGTTATCCGTGCTTGATTCTCTACCCACGGGTTTATATACTCCACAGATATTTCCATTTCCGTTTTTTACGCTACCTGGGGGGTGGAACATCTCGTTGGAGTAATCACTGCTATCCCTTCCCTTCAAGGGACCATTCAAATCGCGTCCATTTGGGATTCCTCGTTTTAATGTCCCCTCCACGGAAGAGTCCCTATAAAAGGTTTCATCTTCACGGAGGTGTTCTCCCTTTGATTCTTCATTCGGCGAGTCGTCCTCATTCGACTCATCAACGTCGGTGCATTCGTTAGGGTTGTTGGGGTGGCCATCATGTTGGTTTCCACTCTGGGATTCACTTCTCTTATCACTTGGTTCGTCGCTTCCTCTCTGATCCTCGTTTGTGCCCTCGTCCGTGGACCCCTCCCCGGCTGGGGTGTCGCAGCCACAATCGGACAAAACGTCCAGGTGAAATTCCTGATTATCTTTGTAAATAATCTCATACACCTCGACCGAAACGGAGCACATGACGTAATCGCTAAAAATAATGCTCTTCAACTTAAAGGGCACATTTTCAACTTTTTTATTTTTATTTTTCATTAACTCATAAATGTAAAAAAAATATCTTTTGTGAGAAGACTTCCAGTAGTCAAATGGGATCCAAAAATGGTGATCCTTCACTTTATTGTTACTTTTGTAATTTTCTCTGTTTGTTACATCAAACCCCCAGGAGTTTGAAAATTTTGTCTTCTTCCTGTTCTGTGAACTAGCCATCTCATTATCGTATTCTCCACTTTTCCCGCTCAAATTTAATGTATGGTATTGCATTTTGTTAAACGCACTGATGGGGTTACGAGATTTATATTCGTCCTTGGAGAAAGTCATATCGCCTCCGTTAAAATGGTTGTCGTATGTGAGGTAATCCTCACTGCTGTAGTTGCTAAAATTGTAGATATGCACCGAATTCGAGATTTCTCTTTTCTTATCGTAGGAATCTTTCTCGAGGGAGTTATCCTCATAACTGTTTTTGCGAAGGGTCGTGTCCTCCTCGTTCTCATATCTGCGGCGAGTTCTCTCATATTTGTCTCTTTGCATATTTGTCGTTGTCTTATGAGGTAAGATGCGAGAATGCCCCCCCCTTCGTGCCTTGGCTCTCCTTAACATGTTACACGTGTCGTCCGATTTTTCCCCATTAGAAAGAGTCTCATATTTGTTTCCAAAATAGTTTGAAGAAATATTAGTGTTGATGTTATCCTCTTCATTATCCTTATCACTGTTACTTATTTTCGACGACTTGTAGAGGATTTCTTGAATTTGGGAAAAGGTTAAAGTGTTATCTATGACTAGCATGACACAAGAAAAAATTAATAAAATGAAGGAGCTAATTTTATGGTAATTAATAATCGCAAAATTGTCTTTTTTGTTAAAGTTGAGCCAAAATAGGACTGAGCTGCAGATGCTTAAAATGTATTTCAAATTTGGGTACTCCTTTTCTCCAAAGCTATAATCCATAATTTGTGAGTCGAAGAAATTTTCATATTCCTGTTCTAGGGTTAAGCTACTCCCATGAACATCCCATATGACATACGATTGATAAAGCATGGTAGTGGGAGATTTTCCAAAGGTGCTTAAATCGTAGTAGCACTCATTTACCTTAATTAAATTTCTGTATTGAAAATTCTTCGGGTTCTTTTTTATGTCTACCTTCTTTAACAAGTAATCTATATTTGCAAAAACATTTTGGTTGTAAAGCTCTAACCCTTTGTAGTAATAATTAACAGGGGGGTCATTCAGATATTCACTCGAAATCCTCTCCAGCACTTTTATGTAATTGGACAAATGGTACACATTGTTGATTTGTAGCTCTACATTCTTGGGTAATCTCCACGGTTTTTTCATGACTAGCAATCTTTTGGATATTTGGAACAAGTACGTTTTTGTGTACTTGTGCCTGATCTCGTCCGGCACGAGCATGTAGTTCGTTAAATTCAGCCCCGTTATTGGATTGTGCTTGCTGTCTCGAAGAGGGTTGCAGCTCCTGCCTTGGTTTTTGGGCGTGATCACCTTCTTGCGCATATTCTCGCTTCTGTTTTCGCTTCTGTTCCCGCTGCTGTTCCTGCTTCCACTCTGGATTCTGATCTCCCGTCTGCTCCCCCTTCCCTTTTCATTTCTAAAATGGTCGAAGATGATATCACCCGTTTTCTTCACGTTATCATCCGATAGGTCGTTCTGGATGAAGTTTTTGAAATACATCACCTTCTCATCGTCCTCTTGGAAATTTTCAATGTTCCAAAGGGTTTCCTTTGTAACTCTTTTTTTCCTGCTAAAGGAGTCGATTCGCTTGGCCTCCATTTCGCCAACAGGTTGGTGATAAATTGCGTGCATGCCATACGCGCTCTCTTCTTCCTCCTTCTCTTTCTCATTTCTGTTGCGCCTCTGATCTTTCCTTTCTGTTGTTCCTTTTGCGTTTCTTTCGAGGTGATTTTTCATGCTAAATGTTTTTCATGTGATTTTTCTTCCTTTTTCTTTGGCATGGAAAATTGTCATCATAAGAGTTCTTGCCGGGGCGTATTACTGGAAGCATTGAATCTTAAGTGGTCCGCAACTCGATCGTTACACTACGCAGCTGCTATTCTGCTTGGTTGCGCAATCGTCCTCCCGTCGTTTCCGCTATAGCATTATTGGCTTTAAATAATGCTACTCTGCGGTGTGCTCTTTCTTGCACTTTTGCCAAGGGCAGCCTTTCGCACACTTTTTTTTGTGTATATATTTCCTCCCTTCTTTTGTTTTGTTCCCCCCTTTTTTGTGTGACCTTTGGGTAGCGTAAAGCGTTGCTGCTTCTTGCTCTTTATTACTCCTGTGATATTACGCCCTTATCGATTTGGATTTTAATATTTTACTTGAAGGGCTTTCAACGAAAAAAAAAACAAAAAAAAAAAAAAACTATTCATAATCCTGGGACCACTTCGATTGGGCTGGAAAATAGCTTAACATAGGGACAAAGAAAGATTGCTTCTTTGAACTGGAAGGGGGTGATACATTCGTGACTTCGTACACACGCATACATAAACGTATATACTCTTTTGGAGAAAAAACAGACGTTTTTTTTAGCCGAACAAATTTGCCATTTATTTGAATAGTTTACAAGCGTAACTGTTCAAGCAAGTGTTTTTTTGTTTTCAATTTTGATAAAATGTGTTTTGCTTTAAGACATGTACACGTGGGGTGGTTCAAGGATGGGAAGAGTGGGTGGTTGGTTAGTGCCCAAATAGCAAAGCGAAAGGAAATGAAAAAGAAAAAGTAAAAGAAAAAAAAAAAGAGGCAACGTTCAAAATAATGGATACAGCAAAATAGTACACAAAATTGTAAATACTCCCGAGCGTCGTGAAGCAAACTGTGACATATGCAGATAAACACGAAACTGCATTGCCGAAACGGACGAACGAATAGGAAAAAAAAAAAAAAAGACCACATAACGAAGGCGCAAATTTTAATAACCATTAAAACACAAATGACAAAAACGGCAAATATTGCTGTGAAGGTATTTTTGCCATTGCTTTCGGATAAATTGTGACACACGGAAAAAATAATATAGGGGAACAATGGCTAAAATGTTGAAGCTCATTTGTGAGAAGAAAATTGCGACGGAGTTGCAGCAGGTTTCCCGTACACTGGAAAAAAAATAGAGTGGCATTCCCTACGCAACGAACGAACAAGCGAGCAAAGTAGCCAACAAACAAACAGGTTAATCGGATTAAACAGATAAAACAGGTTAAAACAGCATAAACAAGCAGATGCGCAAACAAAACGAACAAATTGTGAACATTGTGGTCGTGCCAAAATGCCCCTGAACGGAAAATAAAAAAAAATGGCAACCTTGGGTACTTGTGGTAAAAGAAATTTTATAAAGTTGTCAAGTACGAAGGCAGCGGTAAATGACGATGCGTACATGTGTGAAAACATGTAGGTATGGCTACGTATCTGTGTATAATTGTGCATATTTATACATACAAAATGTGTGCCATGTCGAGGTTACTTGCCCTTTTGAGCTAACCTCGATATGGTGACGATCTCTTATGAGTGGTTAAAAGGTACACACTTAATGCCAGTAAAAATGTAACACTTTTACGCTTTCACGTATTTATTTTATTTTTATTTTTTTTTTTAAACAAATGAGGTGGAAAAAAGACGGACACAAAAGGAGGGGCATGTACGCTTATTTCCCCCCGCCCATTTCGCCCATCCTTTAAATTTATTCCCAAAAAAGTTCTGAGGATGCAAAAATTGGCATAAAAGAAAAAAAAAAATAAAATAAAAACAAACGAAACAAAACAAAACGAAAAGAAGCAAAATGTGAAGTAGAATTTAAGTCACAAAACGTTGACCATTTTGCAGTTTTTTTTTTTTTCATACGCGAAATGTTATAAAACATCGGAAAAATTAATGCTACCAAGCCCGCCAATATTTAAAGCGGCGTGACATCAGTGAAACTGAGTAACAGTGTAAAAAAAATTGCGTTTTTCTTTTTACACGTAAATGCGTATATATACATATAATACCCCTCCATAAAAAGGCATAACGCGTGGGACTTATAGAAAAAAAAAAAAAAAAGGAATTATAACTCATAAATATGTATAAGCCAAAATGAAGTAAAATTTTACGTCCTCTTTGTCACCAGTCCTGGTTTGACCCGTCCATTTTTTTTTTTTTTTTATTCTCCCAGAGAAATATGATTTTGGCCAGAAATAAATGTGCGTAATTATGCAAACTGATTGCAGTTTCGCGCGTTGAACGTTAACAAAAAAATTGTTACCTCATTTGCTGCTCCCGCTCATTTCTAGTGATTTACTTTTTTCCATTATAGACTTTTTAACGAATAAAATTTCACAACGATACAATTTCGGCAGTGGTGAGAACTTTCGCTATCCCACTTCACATCCTCAATACGAAGCAAAACATGCTTTGTGATAGACATCACATGAAGGTTGTGCGGGGGAGAGGAAAATAATTTATTTGTTTTTGATTTGTAAAATGCAAAAGGGGAAAAAAAAAAGCTTCACGTACGCCACACTCAGTTGTTACACCTGTAAGAGATTTTGTGGCCCCCTCTTATTTCCAGTATTATCTGTCAAGCGGCGTGCAAAAAGATGTCGTTCGTATAAGGGATTGCCCACATAACAACAAACTGTCTGCATCACTTTTTTTTCTATGTATTCTTAGGTGAATACGAAAAATGCTCACCTTTTCACTTGTCCTCTTTATCCCCCTAGAAAGGGAAAGGAAAAAACTAAATTCATAGGCTGCTAGTATTAATTAACCGGAGAAAATGGCACAAATGTGCAGGCATTTTTAGCTGTGGAAACTTTTATGTGCAGAAACTTTACTTATCGTTTGCCAATTTTTCTTTCTTTCTTATCAGAATATAAAATATTACCCTTTTAAAAGTGTTAACTCACTTTCCAAGCACTTCAAAAAATGGAATGTTCCAAAGAGGTCGAAATGGTTCAGTTCAACACAAAAAATGGAAAAGAGGCCACCATCCATCCGGGAAGTAGACCTTAAATGTGTTTATAAAAACTGATAAACTATTTAAACTGTTTTGTTAAAAGGCCCCTCCCCCCCTGTTCTTTTAATGCAATTCGTACGTAATCTACTCTTATCGCGTCAGTAGTGTACGCTTAAGAGCTCTTACAAATGTATAGAACGCTTTTCTTAATAACACTTTTTGGTTACCCGTTCGCATTTAAAAAACCGTTTTCAATTTTAAGATAGCCATTTTAGGAAAACATTTCCTAGTAACGAAGTGGGAACGGCTCCGAATGGCATTAATCATGTTGGTTCTCTTTTACGAATATTCTCATATGTGCATTATCATACTTCTTTGTGTTGTTCGTAAAGTATTACTAAAAGGTTTCCCCATTTTTGTTCGCGTTGGGGAACTTTTTTGGATAGTTTTTATAACTTTTTTGGAGCGTTCCCCATAACCGATCGCGTCACATCTGTTACATTCATCATAACGATTTGGAGAAAAATCATGTGTTCGAGGCTGCTTTTCCTCGCACGGAAAAGAAAAAAAAACATATACATATGTAATTTATATGTATACAATGTTGGCAGAAATAATACATATGACTCCCCCATCCTCTTGGAAACATTTGTGCCAATCGGTCCTGCGTCATAAATTTAAAAAATAGGGTCTCAAACGAATCGATATAAAATGTAAACGTCCTCGAATATTTTATGTTAATTTTCTAGGAAAAAAATAAAGCTATCTTTCATGGGGTACGAGAAGTATCTCATTGCATATGGCAAAGCAATTCCAAAACGCTTTCTGATTTTTGACAAAATTTTATTAGCCCATTTGGGATGCCCAGAGATGCTATTAAATAACCTTTTCTGCTTTGTGCTGCCGCTAAGCTTTGTTAGCATGTACCATGTAGCGGCAATTTGACAAAGCAAAGGTGTAAACAGGAGAAGCACCAACATAACGAATACAATAAAAGTCTCATTGACCATTACCACCCAAACGGAAATACAGTTCGCTTCTCCTTTTAAGTAGCAAAGGCCAGTGGTGAGGGGGGAAGTACCACATACAACAGGGCAAGCAGGCAGGGGGTTCTCCAAATAAAAAGTACAAAAACGGACTGAAGCGTACCGAAACGTACCGAAACGTACCGAAACGACTGAAAGTAGGCCCATATAGAAGTACGAAGATAAGTGCAGACAGTGTGCCATGTGGCTGCGGCTAGTCCGAAATTTTACTCTCTGCTTTCTTCCCACCACATATTCGAACAAGTTGGCGCAAAAATAAAGCATACTGTAGTGTCACTCTCACTAGCTTACTTTTGAATTTATGGCATAAAAAGAAAAAGCTCATAAAATTGCAAAACACGTGTAATAAGATAGAAGAAGTTGCGGCAGTACGTCTGCATGACAAACCGTAATTCAAGGTAGTTTGGCTGTAATTCCGCAGCGGCAGCAGTTAGGTAGTCTTTATGGGCTGTTAAAGTGATTGCATTCCCCGGGCGACTGAAACCGCACGAAGGGGAAGAAGTCACAAATAAAAGAGGACAAACCGTTTGATAAGGGAACGAAGCGAAGCGGAACAGCGTACTTACTGCCCCTACCCCCACAAGGACCAGGAAGATACAAAAATGAAAAAAGAGTATAAGGAATACAATGAGAAGAACTTCCGGAACATGCAATTTATTTACGATTTTTTGGATAAGATTGGAATGAAAAATAGTGTGGAGACGTTGAAGAACGAAAGCAAAATAAATTACGTAAAGGAGTATGATAAATATTTTCTGGAGAAAGGCAGAAACCAGGACGAGGATGAGAACACTCGAGATGAGGAAGTAGCGGACAATTTAAGCATCATCCCAAGTGACAACCGAAGTGGGAACCGAATTGACAGCCTCAGTGAAAACCTCAGTGACAACTTCAGTGACAATTTGAGCGACGACTTAGAAATCGATCGCGACTTTTTTATCCACACCATTGAAAAAATGAACAATACAGTTTTGTGTAAAGCTATAGACAGCTTCGAAATCGAATTAAAAAGTAGTAGCAGGAGTAGTCAGAATGCGAGGGAAAAGGAGAAAAAAAAAACGGAGAGTGCAGAAAAGGGAAACAGTTTCCAAAACAGGGGTACTTTCCCCGACTATAAAAAAAGTTTCACAGCAACTGCAGGTGATAACCGCGTCGGGATGAAAAAACACCATAACGCATGTAGTCACGATAGTGTGCAAAGTGACGGTACAAATTGGAGTGAGCACGCGGGAATTTCTGACAAAATAGAAGACGAGTCCAAAAGCAACATGAACAACGATAGCAGGAAAGGTAAAGATGCATGCATACTAAAAAAGGTGGCCGAAAATGTGAAGGACATATCTTCGGTAGCGAAAAACCATTTGAAGTTTCCCCTATCAATAAATGGGAAGTTAACAGCGGGGGTAAGCAACGATCTTGACTTAACCCTTAATGGAAAATCGAGCGTTGAAGTGGATCACAATGCGCCAAAAAATGAGGCGAAGATTGGCCAAGAAAAAAGGAGCATTAACAATTTCCCGTACAACTTTGAAAGCGTTGAGGGTTCATCCTGGCCCTGCGAGAATGAAAAAAGTTGCTACTTAAGTGGCAAGAAGAGCAAGAGTCTCAATGGGGAAATCGGCAAGGGTGCAATGGGCAAAGCGGCAACAGGCAAAGGGACAACGAGTAAAGCGGCAATAGGCAAAGCGGCAACAGGCAAAGCGGCAACAGGCAAAGCGGCAACAGGCAAAGCGGCAACAGGCAAAGCGGTAACAGGCAAAGCGGTAACAGGCAAAGCGGTAACTAACAACGCGTTAACTAACAACGCGTTAACTAACAACGCGTTAACTAACAACGCGGGAATGGACAGCCAGAACGCAAGGGATGTGCACAACTGGGACAGCTTCTTCACGTACGAACGGGAAATCTGCAGAGAGTTAAAAGTAAAATACAGCTGTGGCGCAAAAGGCAAAGGCGAAAGCAACAATGGGGATGACAACTACATCGGATCGACATCCAATATTCTAGTTGTAAAATATGTGGACATTTATAACCTGGACACGTGCCAAAATATGAGATTCGAGAATATCATTTTTTTCAAAAATTTTTTCCCAATCCTGCTGCTGGTAGGGTACGCAGATGGCAACGTGAAGCTTTTTTTAATACTCTACGAGAAAAGCGACAATGAACATAACGCGGAGGAATGCATTCACATATGTGAAGAGTTGGGCCATCTATCTTTAAGCTCACCCATAATGTTTATCGATATTAACTACAGGGACAATATATTTATCGTGTCCACAATGAATGGAGATATATATATATGCAAAATAAATATCAACAATCTCTCCATATTAACAGAAAATGTTGAATTAAATCACTCAATTGATGACATAAAAAATCATGTAAAAACGGACGAGAGATATATTAGCATTATAAGAAATTTAACCTATCATAATAAGTACTCCATCAAGTGTGTATTTAATGAGGATTATTCATTTTTTTGTTCCATAGCAAATGATAAGAATTTAATTATTTACGAAAAAATTACAAGTGGAAATGAAATGTCCGTAATTTATGAAAAAAAAAAAGTCATAGGGTTGCCTGAAATACCAACAAGTGTTTTGTGGGTCAAAGAAAATAACAACAAAGAAATGATAATCACCAGCATGCTAAGCAGCAATCATGTCCTTTGTCTAAACAGCAAGACCTACAACGTAGAGAGTAAAATTTACTTATTTGATGAAGCAGACAAATATAATATTCTCAATTTAGAATACAATAAAAATAAAAACATTTTGGTGATATGCACGGACACGTCCATCATTTTTGTCTACTCCTTTGTTAGCAAATCGATTATTAGAAAAATTTACGGATGTGTTTTAAATTCCCTTTCCTTTCCAACAATCGAGATTGACATTAACGGAAATAACATTTACATCACGTCAGACGATAAAGCGAATGGTACCCACATTTTAATTTTTGACATAAAAAGCGGCAACATTATAGACGTTATAAATAACGGCTATAAAATCAGATGCTTTCAATTGTTAAAAAGTTATATTTGCCCATTTTCCAGTGAAACCAATTCGAATAACATTGAGGAAAATAAAAAATCGTTGCTTATCTTGGGATCCTTTGACAAGAAAATACATTTTTACTCTAACTGATAAGGGGGATTACAAATTTTGTATTCCCCCAAAATATGATGTGCTGCTCATTTGTGAGAAGTATAATATACCCCTTAGGAGTACCTGCCTCCAGAGCCGTATACCAAACCAGTGCGCTCGCTTTTTCGAGCAAAACGAAGGCAACTGAGAAGTAGAGATGTGATTACTCTCCATTGAAAGTTATCAACGTGACAGACCATTGCGCTGTGCTACCCACGTGGTGCCCCTATTTACATGCCATCCTGTACCACACACGCGAGGTAGTATGTTTTATTCTATTTTTAGTATGTCCTCATTTTTGTCAGGCAGATTTGCGCCCGTTGAACACATTTCGAATGTGCACATAACATCTTCCTTTTTTTTTTTTTTTTTTTTTGATCCTTTGGACAGTCGAATCATTCTTTTCTTTTTTGAGTTCTCATAGCAAAAGAAAAATTTTCCAATGTGTAAAAAAAAACAAACTTACAATTTTGTCCGCATTACACCGGACGAATGTCACAATTTGAACCCTGATTATTAATCAAACATGTGTTTGAAATATGGTTCGTTACTTAAATACATCATTGCTATCCTTTTAATGCATTGTCCAGAACGGAATCGTAATTTATCTTAAAATGGTTAATTATGTCACGCTTCGCAAAGCGCGAATGTGACCATTTTTTGCAAATTCTGGTGTTCTCTTTTCAGTTAGCAGGTTCTCCCAATCGTGCCATTATGTGTATGTACACTATTGGAAGAAGGAAAAAATTACGAACAGGGTGGCCTAAAAAATCTGTATATGGGTGAATCATGGGAGAGGCCAATTAAAAACAACCGCACAAAGCTAAAAGTATGTACAGGATTGGCCAAAGCGCTTCAAATGTAATGATAAAAAAAAAAAAAAATTACGGAGAAGTGTACGAATGTGAAAACATGACAACATCGAAATTTACAAAAATACAAATTTCAAGTTAAAACCCTCCTGTTTTGTTCACCCCTTCTGCGTGTAAATTCGCCTTATCACCGCTGTCTTCTTATTCTGTCTATTTTTTTTTTAATCTGTTGATATGTTTCGACACTTGGCGCTTGCTTATTCTGTTCATTAAGCACACTATTTCGATTCAGCACCCCTCTTCCAATTACGATAACCTCCTTGCATTCCCACTGACCTCGGCACTAGAACCACCAAAACGAATTTCTACGCATACACTAGTAAAATGTCATTTCACTTTTTCGAAGCATGGTGTCTGATATTTCTATATTTTTATTTTAACATACAAATTGAGTGTTATCTGGATGATCCGAAGTTGCCAGAATGTGACGTCTCCATCGATACGGCAATTTGTATTAACAATGGGCAAAAGATCCTGTTGCCCGAGGCAAAGCCATATGGTGAGCATTTTCCCTGAACACTTGTTCCGTTTTTTGTGCAAAATTGGCCATGCACTTTTACCTTTGCCAGCGGAAATTGCGTGCACGTTATCATAATCACCTGTAGATATATTCTTTTTTTTTTTTTTTTTTGCGTGTGTCAATCTGGAACCACTCCACCTTCCCTCGATAGGCATCTCCGCCTACATAAACTTCGACAGCATATCTGCAGTAGACGCAACTGGAAACCGAAACCATGCCGTCGGAAACTTTTTCCCCTCCACTGGATTTGGCGGTATCGGGAACTCTTCCCTGTTCAGAAAAAATTACATTTACATTCCTCATTCAGAGGAGTATTTCAAAACGGTCGATTTTTCCTACACCTTTTTTATCTACCTACTGGAGGATGAACTGTCGATGTAGGGAAAAAAAAAGACAAACTGGGCCGCCCCCCACAGGGGTTGTGTGTCAAGCGCGAGCAAGTCACTCGTACATGAGTATGTAAATGCATATAAGGAGTCCCACTTACACGCATGAACTAACTTTATTCCCCTCCATTTGAAGAAAAAATAACGTAGAAGAAATGTTTTGCCCCGTAATCCACAAGGTATGCCCCTACGCCTATTTTGGCTCTCCATTCTTTTTGAAATTACTTTCTCTATACCAATTAAGAACACCCTTCTCTTTCATCCCCCACCCCCTTGCAGGGAATCATAAAAGACAACATCCAGGAATCCTCCCCAGCAATATTAATAAATGCAAAGGTATGGGAGAAGAAAAAAAAAAAAAGGAATCACAATTAAAAAATGACAAAATGATAAAAAGAGAGTAATGTTGTGCTTTTACAGCCCTGTTTGTGAGTAGGTCTCTTCGTCATTCTAGGGACCCTCAATCGTGCGAGCGCCGTCCTCGCAGAGCATTTCGAGTTTTTTTCCCCCCACACGTGGGTATATGCCCATACCTACATGCATGTGTAGGTGTAAAGTAGGCACCTCCACACTACGCACCAAGCACTAACAACATGATGCGCTCCGTTAGGTCCCTGAACCAACAAAACTATTCCTTATAATGCCCTTTTGCGCAGAACGGACGAATTAAAATCGTTTTGAGCACCTCTTCTAGCACGAACTCCGGTGATTGAAAAATGCAACAACTAAACAGTTCTTAACTGACATTACATCGGCCCATTTTGCTTTCTTTTTCGAAATGATTATGAGTCGCTCCATAGCCCCACATGTGCTATCTTTCCCCCCCAATACATGTGATATATGCAAAAATGTGTTCCTAACTTGGGAACCCCTTGCGCATATACCTAAAATGCTGATGCGAAGAAAAAAAAGTATATGCAGAGCTAAGCATGGTCACATGAACATCCCCAAATAATATTTTCCTGAACAGCCGGAGAAGAATTTTTGAGCAATTTCAAATTAAAGCGTCACCAGTGGTATCACATTGCAGGTATGGTTCGCGGAAGTAGGCGCGACGAAAGGGTGGTGCGCACTCGTCCAGGCTTAAATGGGTGCACATGTAAATATATATGTAAATATATGTCTATATATTTTTTTTTTTTCTGCCCTTCCGCTGCAACAGTTGTCAGGCACATAAACCACGTAAGACTCTTCGTGAACGGAATCCTTGACTCCAGTTTTCTAACCGAAGGTAGTGCATGCATGCGTGCATACGCGTGTATATCTCCACAAGTGCATAAATGATCAGATGGGGGATGTCCCAATTTGGTCAATTTCGCAACCAGCGCATATAAATTGCGGCGTCATCATATGCGCCCCATTTGTCTATCCCCCTTCCTCCCATGGACATTCGTGTAAAGATTGTTCACTACTGCATGGAAAAAATATCCTGCAATCACGTGTGCATCTTCCGTTTTCACTTTAGGAATAACAAAAACGAACGACTTTCCAATATACATAGGGGGGGCACCATATTCAGTAGAGTCTTGTGACTTTCCATTTTTACTGGACGAATTAAAAGTTTATAATTTGAGCATCGGAGTGGACCACATTCAGAGTGAAGCGGCATCAACCCTAAACGGAGTAGAACCATCTTTCATCTACTTTGGTTGTTTTCATTGCGATATTAACAATGCTATTTTGTCTTGTCCGAATAATTATCATTTATGCAATAAGGTGGAACTATACATCGGGGTTTACAATGTGATGAGGAAGTTCTCACTAAATATAAATAACCTCATATTGCCCTTCTCCCCCGAGAACCACACGGGCATAGGTGTGTGTTGCGCCGATATATGAGGCGCATTGGAGAAGCGATCATTGGGGTAGAGGCGCATTGAAGATGCAATCATTGGGGTACAGACGCAGTGAAGATGCAATCATTGGGGTAGAGACTCATTTGGGGGTAATAATTTGCCCAACAGAAGCAGCCTATTATCAACCTTTCGCCCCACCCTTTTGCATAGCAGTTCATACACTGAAAGGAAAGACGTACATATATGTACATGTGGGAAAAAAGAAAAAAAAAATGCATGAACAATTTTACGCTCTCCGTTCCTTCCACACCGAGTTCACTCTAATACAAATTGTGAAGTTTTTCTCTTCATTTCTGTTTTTGCTTTCCGGGAGTTGATGATATGCACATGTACACATGTGTGTGTAATTTTTTCCGGCTGCTCATCCTCCCGAGCCATTCCGTGTACCTGTTTTTCCTACCTTTACTCCTTTTACCCATTTATAAGGCGCAGCTCTTTTCAGTTCCCCATTTTGAGAATAATTAAAACTTATTCCTCGTAAAAATTGTAAAGAGATATATTTTTCCCTCTATTACTTAAACGTTGAAGAAAAAAAAAAAAAAAAAAACGGAGGGGTAAAAAAGAAACCGTTCTGTCTTATGACAAAAAATACTTTTGGCAAATTTGCTGAGAGCTACAGTGGCGCAGATGTCTGCGGATGTATACGTATAGCTATATCCTCGGTTGGGGCCCCCAGATGCAGCAATATCGTTTCATGATTGGGGAAGTACAAATCCCACGTGGCATCCCCCTTCTGGGAAGTCACGAGTATGTCGCTAATAAAGGGATGAGGCGGAGGAAACACAGAATTTGCCCCAATATTACACGTACGTCTGCTAACACGTTGTGTACGTACATGAAAGCGTGTTTACCCCCACGGGTTTTCCAAACAGACAGATAGAGCTACCAGCCCCCCAAAGAAAAAAACGCCTCTCCCCTTCACATACCTACCACTTGCTCATTTCGTATCGCCAAAAAAAAAAAAAAAAGAATGAATAAAAATAAAAATAAAGACAAAAATAAAAGCGCCACAATACGAAGGAAGCTCCAAGAACGAGCTCAGGAGGGACGAAAAAATGAGAGGAAGATACACAACGAAGTGCACAAGTTGATAAATAAAGAAATAATAGTCGATTATGACACTAATGAAAAGGTCAATGCAAAATTTATTTTGAATAAATATTTAAATATAATTACCCATTTGACCAAGGAAAATGTAAATTTAAAAAAAATCATAGAAAAAATAAAACTACAAAATGACAGAAACGAAAGTACACTCACTAAATACGAACAGGAGTTGAGAACAAAAAATGACATCATCGGCAAAATAACCAATAAGTATGGCGTACATATTTTGGGGGAAGATTTTAATGGGTGTAGTGTCCCTGATCAAGAAGTACAACGAAGGCATTCCATCATTCAACAAAACATGGCGGTGCTGAAAGAGGATGATACGATCTTGCCGATTGGGGCAAGAACAAATTGTTTCCCCCATGGTGGAGAAAATCATCAAATGGAATACTCCTCAAACTGTTGTAATGTCATTCACGAGGGGGCTAATACACAGTGGGGACACAAAATTGAGGCGTTCACGACGGTGAACTCGCCATCCAGTTGTAAGATCAATCTCCAGAGTGATCATGCAGAAGGGGTGAACCGCAGCAGTAAAATGACAGTTTCACAGATGTGTCACGTTAAAACCGTTCCGCATGAAGACGCAAACAGAACTATGCTTGGTGAAAAAAGAGGGTTAACAAATTTGACCGACTACAGGGATAAATTCATATGGCATGAAAAAACAATCAAAAATGAAATGCCACTTTTTAAGGCAAAAAATTCAAATCTGTACTTACATGGACAGAGCAAATTACAAGATAATGATAACTGCCTTGATGAACTGAATTGCCTCATAAATAGCTCCCCCAGTGCTGCCGACCTTAGCGACGTTAACATTGTCCCACATGGAGGTGGACGCCTTGAAGAAATTGAAAGGTACCATAAAAAATGCGAGGAAGAGTATAAGAATGTACATACCCCAAGTAATTTTGTCGATAAAGCAAACCGTCTAATCAGCGTTCGCACAGAAAGGAACATGTGTCAAAGTGCCACTAAGGAGAAGAAGACAATTGGGAATGCTCCATCCTGCCTGTATGGGGATTTGTCAAAAATGAGAAGTTTTCCTACGCTGAGAAGCGATGATCGTGAGGAAGAAAGCTCCGAAGATAAATATAGCAAGGAGGACGAGTTATTTTCGAGCAGGGAAGAAAAACAAGATGGTTGTACGGATAGAGCGGCGGACGTGCATGTGGATCGTATGTCTGTTGGCAGTCCCAACAACCACGTGCCTGTAGTGTGTAAAAGGGCCACTGCGGTCATGCAAAGCGATAGCGAGGGAGAGGCAAACCATGACACGATCCCGACCCAAATGGATGATGAAGTTGCGGATGGGGGTCGCGGAAGTTGTAACGCGCCGAATTCGAGTGCACTCGATAAGAAAAATGTGAACGACGATCTGGAGGATCACAATTATGAGGACTTGGAAAATATTATGTTTACAATATTGAAGCTCAGGAAAAAAGGGTAGCAAAAAAGGGTAGCAAAAAGGGGTAGCAAAAAGGTGTAGCTAAAATGAGTAGCTGAAATGGGTAGCTATAAATAGGGCAGTTTAACAGGCCAGCTAAAAAGGAGGGGACAAGTCCGCTTTCCCACTTGTGCATCGGTGGCTTTGTCATATGTATGTACATATTGGTGCATTTATAAGCACATATTTTTAATTTCCCTAAGGAGCTTTGACACCAATGCTGCCTTCACGCATTATGTGGTCCGCCGTTCTATGCACCACAAAGGGGAGGCGCCCAGGGGGATAAAGTCGGTTGCGTCGCGGTTAAGTAGGTACAAATATGGGGTATATGTTGTGCATATATGTATATACATACAACTGTGCACATTTTTGTGGGGGCGCAAGCAGGAACACCTCATTTGTGGACCGAATGCGGCGCCACCAACATGACCACATTTCATTGCTAAGCATTTTATACAGAAAGGCAGGAACAAGAAACAACCATCCGTCGAAATACTTTGTGGTTTTAGCTGCACATTTCAGCTGCAAGTTACATATGAAAAAAAAAACCGTTGCTAGGTGATGTGAAGCATAGCAACCGATTTATGTACATCCCGTTTGAACCACATGAGGGTGTGGATTTGTTTCCGTAGAAGCCCCTCCAGCATGCGCATTTTTCTGTAAAATGAAGCTCATTTTGTGATTTGTGAGAAAATTGTTTTTTTTAAATATTTTTTCAATGAAGTGTTTATTATGTGATTCCGGAACGGTATCTTCGTCAATGTTATTTTTTAACACGGAAGTTTGTGATTTATGTTTATCTTTAATTCCTTCTTTTTCCTTTATTTTCACATTTTTTTCCCTTTTGTTTCCCTTTTTTCCCTTTTTTTTCCTTTTCTTTTTTCTCTCCACTTCTTTCGAACATTTCTGCCCCCACCCCCCCAACGCATCTAAACTCAAAATGAACCTGTACGTAAGTAGATTTGCCGCAATATCAAATTGCTAATATTACGTGTACCCCTGCATATACGTTTATGTTAAAATCGCCTCCGTAGGCATTTGGACTTGAAGTGTACTTGTTCGTTTTCCAAACAATCGATTGAGAACGGACGTTTCTTTTTTTGGCAAAATGGAGTGCTTAATAAAGAAGATCAAACAGGTGTTTCAGCACTCCATCCAGAAATGCTTCCCCTCAATTAGCGAAGAAGTTGTTGTTACCTACGCCAACGCGAAATTCGGCCACTTCCAATGTAAGAGAGCAAACGCGTGCATCACATATGTGCGTATATCACTTGGGTTAAGCGACCGTCCACCTGTGTGCGATAGCGCCATTACTCGTTTGCACTGTCCAAAGGGGGGAGTGGCGTTAGCCTGGCTGCAGGCTTCTCCCTTCGGTTTATGTACCTGTCTTCTTCTCAATTCTTCATTGAGGGACTCATTTCGCGCGATCTGCGCATGCATTTAGCGCCCCCCCCAAGTGAAGATAACGTGTTGTGTATGCCACAGGGCGGATGACGCGGGCCGTTTGTGAAGCCCGCGAACGTTGCAGCGCAGTCTGGAGGCAGCGAAATGGGAAAAAAAGTGTTAGGATAGCTTCATGTCGAAATGACTTCATGTCGAAATGTCACCATGTCGAATGTGCATGTGCTGATGTGCCCCATGTTGAGATGCCCACTTGTGGAAAGAATAATGCAAGGCCGCTACCATTGCTTCTCTCCCATTTTCCGCTCCCCCACCCCCTCAGGTAACAATGCCATCAACATTTTCAAAAAGCATGGAAAGGAATTGAACGTGGAAAATGCGCAGAAGCTCTCGCAGATGATAATAGAAAACATAAGCGAAAATTTTTTCGACGAGATTAAATCATCACCGCAGGGTTTCATAACGGTCAAATTGTCTAAGGAGTACATAGAAAAGTCGCTACTAAAATTGTATAAAAATAACAAAATTGAAATAAGCGTGAATATAAATGAAGTGAAGAGTGGAAACGATGGAGACTACAACAGAGTGCTGGTCGATTTCTCTTCCCCAAATATTGCCAAAGAAATGCATGTCGGACATTTAAGATCAACCATATTAGGAGATAGCATATGTAGAATTTTCGAGTTCTTAAATGTAGAAACGCTTAGGGTTAATCATATTGGCGACTGGGGCACACAGTTTGGAATGATCATAAATTATATTGTCTCCAATTATCCCAATTTTAAGGAAAACATGCCAGAATTAACCAATTTGACGAGTTTGTACCAAGAGGCTAAGAAGATGTACGACACAGATAAAGAATTCGAAAAAAACTCCAAAAATTATGCCATAAAACTGCAAAATAGTGATGAAGATTGCTTATTTATTTGGAGAAAATTATGCGAAAGTAGCAAAAAAGAATTCGACAAAATATATAAAATTTTAGACATTAATTTAGAGTATGTTGGAGAATCACACTACATCAGTATGATTTCATCAGTTTTACAAATGTTAAAGGATAAACAATTGTTGACAAAAGTTGGAGATGCGATCTGTTATCAATCGGAAAATTTTAAGGTGCCATTATTTTTACAAAAGTCGAATGGTGGGTACGGTTACGATTCTACAGATGTTGCTGCTATTCATTATAGATTAAAAGAATTAAATTCCGATTGTCTTATTTATGTTACGGATAATGGACAGTCATCCCATTTCGAAACTCTATTTGAGATAGCGAGGAAGGCAAACTGGGCAAGTGAAAAAACCCAGTTAGTTCACGTTGGGTTTGGTCTTGTCCTAAATGCAGATAATAAAAAATTCAAAACGAGAAGTGGCACCAACATAAAGCTCATTAATCTCATCAACGAGGGGACTGAGCGAGCCAAGAAGGACTTCCTGGAGAGGATTCAGTTGAAGAGCGAAGAGGAAAAGAGCTACTTTAAAGGTGAGAACAGAAAGGAGCCTTAATAGAACGGCGAGCGTGGTGAAATTGGTGTCACGCTAAACTCTGCCCGTGTGCCTGTGCGGGGTGCGCGCAACACAGAATTCCGATTTACGTGCCCCTCTTCTTTTTTCCCTTCACCATGATGCATTGTATGATGAAATTGAACGGGCTCTAAAAGTGGGCCTGCGAGTGTAGAACACATTAATGTATATTTATTTTTCGTTAAATTATGCCTCTTCTTTGTTGACCCCTACCCCTGAAGGAATAGACATAGATCAGCTGAGCGAAGAGCTGTGTGTGAGTGCCATCAAGTATTTCGACATCAAGCAGCACAGAAACACGGACTACAAGTTTTCGTATGATAATATGCTCAACGTGAAAGGTATACGCGAGGGGAAAAAGCCAATTATGCACCCGATTAGTGTCCTCAACCTCTCTGCATGTTTTTTTTTTTTTTTTGTGAACATTTTTGCCACCTTTTGGACTCCATCCCTCCACTGCAGGAAACACGGGACTTTACATTATATACGCCTACTCAAGGATGTGCTCCATTTTTAGAAAGTGCAGCCTAGATATGGACGAACTGTCGAAAGGTGGGCAACTTGCATAGTAAACGAATGGACTGTGTTGAGTGATGGTTGTGTTAGTCATTTTTTTAAAATAATTTTTTTCTTTTTCCCCTCATTTGGCAGACGAGCTGAACCTGGTTAGCCCGTACGAAGTAAACCTAGGATTGCACATTTTAAAATTCCCCGACGTCTTTTATTTTATTCTAAAAAATATGCTAATTCACAAGTAAACGTTGAAATGAACGAAGAAGCGTAACATGCTGCCCCATTTTTGAGGGGGAAAAAAAAAGGCGCATGAATGTGTTAAGCGTACTGCACCCATGTGAACACCGATATAGGATGATTGCATGCTTCTCCATTCATTTTGAGCAACATCACGTTATTTATATATATGTTCCCATCCCTCCCCGTAATTCACGTAGATTGGCCGAGTACACCTATGACTTAACGACCACATTCACGGCGTTTTACGAAAACTGCAAAGTTTTAAAAAGCGAAAACGAGAAAACGAGACTAATTCTGTGTGCCATAGCAAAGTCATTATTACAGGTAAATGGAGCTTCACACGCCCTCAGATGTGCACATATGTATGTGTATCTATTTGAAGAGGCCTCTTTTTTATACAGAAATACACAGCAGGGTTGACCGTAGCGCGGCGCGTACATCCCTTCGCAGTGCAGATAGCCATATTGGCAGATGTGAGTGTGCCAACACGCATACCATCATGTGTGTTTAGTTAACGTGTGCATACGCATGTGTTGTAATGCCCTACCCTTCACTTATGTGCATTCCTTTTCTTACTACTTGCAGATTTGTCTCCGACTCCTGGGCCTGAAAGCCATAGAAAAATTGTGAGAGAAAAAATAACGAACATAATTTAGAGCCAAGCTGGGAATAACAAATCAACAGGAAGTTCATCCATCTTCAACCATACGAGAGACGGATCAGTATCTCCCCATAGTGTTAACAGAAATTTTCGTAACATCTTTTTACCCCCTTAATTGTACCATTACCATTTTTCATTGCTAAACTGTACAATAAGAATTTTTTTTTTTTTCAATTAAGTAAAAATGAAATTGCTATTTTTACCAAATGGTGATATGCCCATCCTCTGTTGGTCATGCCTTCTTTTGATTTCTCACAAATTCTTCTGATAGTTGGAATGATAAAATAAAATTTTGCATATGTACGAAAGGAGAAATTAAACCATCACAAAGTAGAGAGAGAAAAAAAAAGAAATAACATAAGTAAATAAAATAAACCTTATTAAAATGTATGTTTGTCGAATGGACAGTTTAATGAGCAGTCTATTTTGTACGTGTGAGTTTTGTATCATATTAACTTTTTTTTTCTAATAGTAATAATATTGTAAGCCGTAAAGGACTTTAAAAATAACGCTCCTTTTAAAACGTTTTTATAGAGGTTTGAACATCTCTTGATGAATTTTCAGAAGACACCTTAAGGGATTGGCCCTTTAATTTGCTCTGGTGGGGTTTGACACTTCGAGGGGAAAAGAAATTGCCACGAAAAGGTCCGAGGCTGGGTTCAATAATTATGCAATACGGTTAATCATAGGTGCAGATAGGATCATCAATGTGTGTTTAGCCCATTTGTCTTTTACTGCCCAAAGAGAGGCATGTCATTCTGACGTGCGCTATACGTTGTGCGCTCTAGAGTTGCGCTGTGACCGGGATCCTTGGCGAACAGGCGCGTAAATGAACACCCTTAGACATAATAAAGTGAAACAAGTGGATGCTCCCTTTATCTGAGACATAGCGTACATACAGGCAAGGGAACACTTTTCGCATATTTCAGAAAATATTGCCCGGAAGAAGAAGAATTAGAAGAAGAAAAAAAGAAGAAGAAGTTCAGTGCTCTCTTCGTCAATTTAGAACATAACGTAATTTGCGCCTAGAAGATAGAAAGCATCTTCTTGAGTCTTTTAAAAGGCATCTTTGTAGGGCCCTTCTTTGTGCCATCATTCCATCATATCATCGCTTGCTATAAAAGTACTTTTTAAAAATTAGCTGCATTTTTAAAACCCGTTTAGATGGTCCTGAAAGAGCTCTTTTCCATTTTTTCTCTGAATGTTAAAAGAAAAAAAAAAACAAACAAAAGTTATAAAATTCGAAAAGTTATTTTCTTTGCCGCCATGGTTATTCATTCCCTCCATTTTGTTGTGCCTATGGGGTAATTTTGTTTCCTTACAATTTATAGGAAAAAACCGTAAACCCCCTTTCATTGCAGTGCGTGAAATAGTGAAAAATACTTTAATTTTTTCTCAAAAAATAAGGTTTCAAAAAGCTTATTTATCATGTACCCTTCCGTGACACTGTTCATATTGTAATATATGCTGCGGCAGCAAGAATATGCAGAGTGCGTGCGGCAAAAAAAAAAAAAACGGTACCGCTTACATTACATGCGCTGAATTATGCGCTCACGCGGTTTGGTAAATATATTTATAGGTGTTACAATTAAGTATGTTTTTTGTACATACCTGCTATGTTGCTCTATGGTATGATAAAGGGGAGGAAACGTTCATGTGCTTCTTAACCCACCATTTATGAGTAATGCGCGGCGCGGCGAAATTTTAAATATGTTCAGTGATGAAAAAGAATTTGCAATTTTGTCCGTACATATTTTTTTACTTTGAAAGATTACTGCCATTGTATGTTACCAGATTCTATGTCAAGTGCGAGTTTAGTATAACGTTCGTTTGGCGCACAAACAGAGCTAATGTCGCGTTCATCCTGCGGTCATTTTCTCAGGCATCCCTCGCCAATTTCAACGCGCGGAGGACGTGCAAGTATAGGAAGAAGTCGCACGTTGAGCATATTAGTATTTTCCTACTGCGCATTTTAATTTAGTCGCATTATACAGATTTCCCCTCGCTGCGTTTGCGAAGTTGTACGAGCGTCGGCGTACTGGCCCAGCGGTGGGGCCTTCTGGCAGTAGACCAACATATCAGTAGAAGGGTTAGACCCGTAATTTTTCCGTTTGCCCCTGAGGCACAACTTTTCAGCATATAGTTTCTAAACCCTGTCCGTAGGGCAAAATTGTCATATGCTGGGAAGTTTATCCGCCATGTCCTCCGACGAGTTATTTTTTGTTATATATGGATTTATTCGCCCGAATTTTAAATAAATTTTTAACACCATTTTGAAGTAACGGCGCAAGAGGGAGCTCATGTCTATGTGGTTGCCTAGACTGTGGTTGTCCAATTTTCGGATATAGACCTCTTTTGAGGACGTAGACCCCTTTTGAGGATATACCTCCCCTTTGCACTGCCCTTTCAAAGTTCGCCATTATAGCGGCAGCTGGGGACGCATACGCGCACATAACACGTTAGCCGCGACGTTAACGCTTTCCTTTATGTTTGTGCACATGCGTCGTATGTGCATTTTTCACCCATAAGGAACATTCCCTTTTTGCTGCTTTCACCTCTGGGTAGAGCGCAGTACATCCTCTCTTTTCTGATGCCCCATCGGATTCCCCCCTCTGCTCACTCAATTTGTTGTCAAAAAAGATGGAGTACGGAAATGGAGGGGACAAAATTTTCGACTTGAACTCAATCAGTCGAGAGAAGTTGGAGTTGGTGGAAGTTTTCTATGATAAAATGAAGGATACAACAAATGCGAATGCATTGTACTTGTACGCCTTGCAGATCTTTAAGATCTGTAACATCCATAACGAATTGCCTCGTTTGGTGGTATTTGGTCAGCAGTCCATGGGGAAGACGACGCTTTTAGATTTTATCATGGGAGGACCAATGGGGTATACGAGCTCAGACACAGGAACGAAGCAGCCAATTGTGATTATACTAAAGCCTAGTGACACGAATAAAATAGAATGCTATTTGAATAAGAAGAAAGTAAGCATTGACGATTTGCATGAGAAAATGAAAGCCATTATGGTTAACCTGAACGAGTCCATTATTCCCAAGGAGCTAGAAGTGGAAATTTCCATCCCAGGTGGCATTTACGCTACGTTCGTCGATTTGCCCGGAATAAAGGACGATTCCAAAGCGGGGTCAGAGCTGACGCGTAAAATTGTCCGTAATTATGTGCAGAACTTCCCGAACGATATTTACATTTTGGTGAAGAAGGCATCGGACGATCCGGCCAACTGGCCCTACCATTTGAGGGAGTTTTTCATGAAACCGAAGCCCATGGGTAAATTGTCGTGCGAATGGCGTACATGACGCGAGGGTGTGCCCACTACGGGTTACTCATATGTTTAATGTGCTCCTTTTGCATACTTAATGCGCCGCCATCACTCTCTAATTCCCCCCCTACAACGCCATAGGTCTTGGTCTACAAAACAAACAGTGCATTGTCGTGGGGACAAGGGCCCTGGAATTTCTGAACAATGAACTGAGCACAATAAAAACGCTCACGGAGCTGTACGATAGGGTGAAGAAAAGAGGAATCATGGACCATAATGATAATATTTTATCACTCTACTTGTTGGAACTCTTTTCCATACCGATAGAACAGAAGGAAAAAAATGACTTTCTAACGAACAGAATTTCGATGTACTCCAAGATACTAAACGGAAGAAAGAACGTGCTAGACTTGCTGCTAAACAAATTTGAAAATGATTGTAACGACTCCATTAAGAAGGAGTTACTGGATTGTTTCGATGTGGAGAAATTCAAACAAGAAGTGAATAGCAAATTTATGAACATCTTAATACAGCAGTTACGTAAGGTAGAAGTGAAGCTAGAAAAAAAGAAATCCAAGATGGAATTTTATAATAAAAAATTAGAAGAGCTATACAACAAAGGAAATATACTAAGCATAAGAGAGCAAGTCAAATTGTACATACGAGAATTGGTTAACATCGTATCTAATTTGTTGACAGGAAATTACCCCATTTTAAATTTGCCAAATAATGGGGAAGACTTTTTGAAAAAATATGGTGGAACTTTAATGGAAAATTTAAAAGACGGAAATGAACTAGCGGTGGAGTTATTTGAAAAGCAGGGATTGTACGACGAAAACTTTCTTAACTACTTAAATGAGTATTTGTACAAATATGCAAATGAAAATGATTTAAATAAATCCATTTCGTCGGAGAGTAACTACGACATCAATAATATCTTGAACAACGACCTGCACAACAGTAACAGCAATAATAATAATAGTAGTAAGAGGGCGGATACGTACGACACGCTAAACGATATGGAAAAAAAAAATTTTGACAATGTACCTTCTCTCGTGGAAGGGCAGCCTGTGAGATTCATTCTGGCCAAAGAGGAAAGCAGCATGTTCGGCGTTGTCCAAAATACACCCACAGACGCGAAAAGTAAAAATATATTAGTCAGTTTTTACTTCAGAAATAACAACACGGAGGAACAAGTGCAAATAAAGTCCGTTGAAAAAGACCGATTAACTGTTATCAAGGCAGTCGAAACGCTGAATGGCGATCCTTCCTTTTTGAATGGACTACAAGTTTGGTACAAAATGATAAGGGATGATGGATGGGTTGGATTCGACAAAGCAGAAATTATTAAAGTGTTTAACAACAATAGCAAAATTAAAGACGTGCTTATCAGAAATTTGTCGAAAAATGATGAAGTCATATCCATAAAAATTAACGACCTCTACATGGATTACGTAAGTGATGAAAATAAAGAGAATGACGAAAATGAAGAAAACGAAGAAATGAAAGAAAATGATGATGACATACTTAAAAGAATCGCAGGACCACACACCGATTTGAAAATCCTGAATCAGTTAGCCATCACCTATATTTGCAAATGGCTCAAATACAATATTGCAAAAATCGAACCGGAAAAAGATTTCTCAGATGAAGTGCTCCTACAAATGATGAGAAGTATTCACAACATCGTCGATCAGAGTGACTGGAAACCATTAGTTGTTGATCTGCTCCAAGCCAATATAAGTGGAAATATTTTACATCTCACCAAATTAGCTAGCTGCTCAGCTGCCGTAGCATTAAATAGAGTATTCAAAGCAGGCTTGGGAGAAATTAATAGAAAAATTAAAAATAATTACATGGATGAAAATATATATCTGTTAAGCACAAATCCCAAGTTCTTGGACGAATTGAATCAGGCCTTGCATAATTTCTGCAAAGAAAGAGCCATTAGTTGTGCCAGCGAAATGAAAGACATTGTTTTTGAGCAAACATATGCTGTACATTTCGAAATCATCGAAGAAATTTTCGATGGCTGCAAACTGTTTGAAGATAACTTCCTCACGCCTAGTGGTGTTAAACCCACCATGTCCATAATTACCAAAAATGTGAAACAGAATTTGGCATACAGAAACCATCAATTGTCCCTAACTGACATTAAAATTAACAAAAAGTCAAAGTCGAAGGAACTCATACAGGAGGAGGTAAAGCTACAGTTTTGGGCCATCAAAATGCTCATATCCGTGCCCTTCGCAACTAAGATTTATGCCCATTTTCTGAACAACATCTTGCCCAAAAATAAGCACCTGGCCAATGTCCTGGACTACTCGATTGACTGCGAGAGCACGCTGGAGAAGTACATCCAAAGCAAATTGCTCAACCGGGAGGTGAACGGTAAGCGATTAAGCGGAGACGTGATGACACGTCGACAGAGCAGCGCGCCACCGTGCGGATAGAGCGGTCCAACAATATTCGTCGCGCATCCCTTTTTCCTACCCTTATGCGCATACACATATGTTGTGTGCGTTATGTGCACTCCGCCACTGTGCGGATTTGCACAAATAGGGCGACACATACAACGAATTCCGTCCTCCTTATTTTTACCCCTCACACCCAGGTGTCCTGGTCCCAATTGATGACAAGGAGCTGATGTCACACTACAACATCATCGACAATAGAGACAACCTTTTGAGAAAGCTGGAAAACCAGAAGAGGCTCAACCAATACTTTACCATCGTTGCAAATTCGATCAAGCTACTGAAAAATAATGTAATACCACATGGGACAAATAAAATTGTCCACTTCTTTATTTTGTTTGAAATTGGGATTACTCTTTTGCCATTTTTTTTTTTTCTTTTTTTTTTTTTTTCTGGCACTGAGTTTCTTTCCATGTTAATTTTCTGAAATGCCCAAATGTTGCAATTTTCACCGATTATCCATTTGCCTAATTTTCTTTCCCATTTTTAGTTATCGAAGGAGAGCACACTTGATTTTGTAACGAAGTTGGATTTTGGTCAAGAAAAAAAAAATTGGCATCGAGGGGGTACGTAAAGGGAAAATATTGGCATTTTGAATTTTTATATTTGCCGTGCCCCCCTGGCGACAGCTTAAAACAGCTCAAGTTTGTATAACTCCTCTTCATTTTGCCTCATTTCATTTTGTTTCCTTTTCAGATGCGTATGAAGACTGACGTCCTCGTCCCCATTTCAACAACCGGATTTATCTGCTTTTTCTTTTTTTTTTTGTCGTTCTTGTCTGTTGCTTTACTTTAGTACCCATGCAAGATATATAATTATTATATATATATATTTCTTTTTTTTTTTTTTTTTTTTTTTTTTTTTTTTTTTTTTTTTTTTTTTTTTTTTGTTTGCATTAATTTATTAAAATTCACCGCATAAGCATGTAGAGGCCTTTTTACGTGTCACATGCTTATGTGTACGCCGCCTCCGATTTGTTACATTTATTTGTTTACCTGTGAGCATATGCCACAGCTGCTTACACATGTGTATATCTCCATTACGTTGGTACGCCGACACCATATTTTAATCCTTCCCAAAAGGATAAAATTTAACTTATGAATTCCGCATTTGGCATAATTTCGCACAGATGATGGCGCCTATGTCTTTTCACCCTTCTCCGTCTTGTATAAAATCACTGTTCGTATGTTATGTTCATTTTTTTCCACTTATGTGGAATATATTTTTTTTTTCCCACGGGCCCTCCCTCCATGCATAAGCATCTTAAAATGTGCTGCTACGGGAATAGACATGTACATACGTACACGTTTCGGCGTATACTCGTACGCTGTGATGGATTACGTGTAGGTATTTTCATCCCCGTGTCCCCTCCGCTTTTTAATTAAAAACCATTACACGCTTCCATCACTGAAGGGTGTAGAACACATAGCCGAATGTGAAATTGGCACATTTGAAAAATTTTGACTGGTATATAAAACCTTAATTTACCACCAAATGAAGAGGCAGAAAAAGGAATTGTTTTTCCACGCTCTTTTTGTGTTACAATTTTGCGCAAAAAGGTGTTACATTAACAATTTCTATAAAAATGACGTTTCCATTTTTGCAACATTTTTGCTGCATTTCTGTTTTTTGTTTTTTTTTTTTCTTTCCGCACCACTGTAACTCCATAACGGGAAGAAAAATAATCTATCATTTGTTCAGCCAAATGATGGAAAAAAAAAATAGAGGAACTTTTTCAAAAAAATGAGACAAAATTATGTTGAACATTTCCTTTTCCTTCACTTGCGTTAAAAAAAAAGTTATTTATCACAATGTGCGTAACATGGCTTTCTCCTTTATTTATTTTTTTTTTCGTCTTTCTCCATTTGGTCTTTCTCATGCATTCTTTGGAAAGCTAAGCGCTTCACCATCCTTAGGTATGTTTTACGTATGAAATATGCATGCCCATGAATGCCTCATTTCTCGACATGTTTGGCAGCTTAAACCTTTTTCCATCATATCATAAACGCTTGAGAAAAAAGGCACAAATTATAGCTCTTCAAATACGTGTACAAGCGCAATTGCCTAACCAAACAGTAAAAAAAAGAAAGCAAAAATGGTACAGGGGCCACGAAACAAGTGAAGCCTTCTTAATTTTACCAATTTTAAATGCGTATACAGTTGGCACAAAACATGGATTTTTTGTCGCATATGTGCCATCGCTTTTTTTTTTTTTGTGAGAAATGGGGGAGATTTATTGCCCTCTAAATTTGGGAAGCGAATGCAGCGAAAGAAAGAAACTTTCAAATTTTACTGACCTTTTTTCTTATAAGTTTTTTTTTCTTTTGCCTGGTTAAAGGCGCATCATGTGTAGTATATAACTGCTTTCTTATTTAAGGCGCTCATTCATTCGTTAGCGCCTTTTTATGACTAGGCCCAGTAACGCATCGCAAAATGATATATACATATAATATATATATTATGTATGTACCTATCGATTTGGCCTTTCACGCGCAGAGGCGATTTTCATCCATACATTCGCGAACTTCTCCCCACGCATTCCTCGATTTGTGTATTCAGTAGTACTTCTGATTTACCCTTTTATGCGTTTATACCCCTGCATCCATTCACCGCGTGCCACCGCACTAGCGCAACCACTGATCAACTCATCCGCTGACGCAGATACGCTTTGATTCACTTTCTTTTTTTTTTTTTTTTTTGTTCCTACCTGACCGGTAGAATGACGTAACCTAAACCAATGCATTACGCTCCGCTCTTACATAGGCATAAACAGATGTATATCTATTCGGACGTCAGTACTCGGAAAATATACGCATAAATTTGATGACTTCACAAAATATGGGCCTTTGGAATGATAATTTTTTAAGATGTTTTTTTCTTTTTTTTCATTTTTTCCCTCCTTTAAGTTAAACCTTATTTTGTGGAACTTTTTCCCCCTGATGCGACAAACATTGTAAAATAGTATGCTCACTTGGCATTAGTACGTAATTATACTTTCGCTATTGCTCATATGCGAAAACGTGTACCTACATACACATACGTGCTACATATATATATGCGTGTAAATGAGTTCATCTAGGCAGAGATTCCACCTCCACACACTTGTATGGAGAAAATTTTGAACAGATTAGATAACGCTTTCTCATTTCTCATTTCTTGTGTGTATTTTTATTCGTAATTGATATTTCTATTTTTCTCGCAACGGTCACCCGGAAAAAGAGGAAAAATAATACTGACGTCTTCACTGTTCATACCACTGCATCGTCCATGATTAACTGTTTCCCCACCCCGACTCGTTTCGCCTCTACACCATTTGACATTCACGAGAATACACGCTTCAGTATTCCCAAGTTCGCGCCCGGTCGTTGCAATAACCGCTTTCCTGACGAGGAGTAACAGACACAGGCAAACAGATCGACAGACAAACACAGACACACAGGGGCCATTTATGATGAAGGCCCTTAAACAGGACAGCAAGAAAAAGGAAGAAGTAAAAAATCATGATGACATGAACACAGAAAATTCAACTGTTAATGGCATCAATATAAACGATATAAACATAAACGATATAGAAGAAAATATAATTGACCACAAAAATGAACGGAAAGTTAAAAAAAAAGGGAAAGCCATTGAATATTATTTGTTTGATGTAGAGGCATACAACACTACAAACAACACCACGATAGACAGTTTCGTTGACTTAAGTTCTATAAGATCAAGTTATTTATCAGAAAACAGGAAGAAGAAAGCCAAGAAAAAAAAAAGCAGCTATTTAAAAAAACAGCTAAAAATTTACAAAAAGAAATATAAAATATTGCCAGAACATAACATTGACCAAGATACCAGCTACGAAGAGTCTGTGAAAAATGCAAATAAAGACTATAGAATATACGACCTCAAGGAGGTTAAAACGGATAAAGGAGCCAATGACTTTTTGCCACAAATACGCAAAGATACCATCGGTGTGAAGAAGGATGTGTTTGCTAATGTAATCAAATTCATCATCCTCATTTCCTCGATTTTCATCTTCGGTTCGTTCAGCACAATCATAACCAAGTACATCATTTTTGTGAAGAAGTTTAATTATACGCAAATTGTCACGCTTGTGGAATTTTTCATTAGGTATCTGATTCTGAGAATGGTAAGGAAAGGATTAAAGAGCGGTGGGTGGATAATACCTTCTCGAAGGGTTTCCCCTGTTTTATACTCTTATGTGAAACATGCTAGTACTCTTCATGTACGTATGACACTGTCCCGTATTTTGAACCCGACATATATTTAAACTCCCTCACAATGCATTCACAATTAGGTAATCTTCTGTGGGAAAATGAAAAGTTCGACAAACTTAACGAGGAAGGAATACATCAAATATATCATTTCGAGTAAAGCATTTTATTTTATTTTTTCTTTTTTTTTGCCTTGTCTATGCAGCGCTCACCGACCCCCACGGCGTTCTCCCACGCAAACTTATATGTACACATACAAATATATGTATACATATGTATATGCGTGTATATTATTTGTTCACGAATACTTCCTTACGTTGCGCCTTTTCTTCACCACCTCCCGCAGTTTCGGCACTACTAGGACTCAGCGTTGTCACAGGCAATAGCGCCTACTCCTACTTAGAAATTCCCGTCATTTCTGTCATTAAGTCGAGTTCGCTAATATTGATATATTTTTTATCCATCAAATTTGGTAACCTTTTTTTTTCAAAAATCTCGGTTGATTTGTTCGAAGCCGAATGGCTTTCCCGCCTAACAGCGCGTACGTGTTAATATGTGTGAATATATGCATACTTATGTTTTTTTTTTCCCCGTCCCCCATTGTGACAGGTTTGACGCAATTCGAGTCCTCCCTGTTCTGTTCGATTGTAAGTGGAAAGAGCAGACAATCGCACGCATAATAACCCCGTAAAGGATAATACGTGCATGCGTTTAGGCATGTATACATGTGCACATATGTGTAGGGAAAAAAAAGTTTCCTCGTGACATTGCAATAATCTCCTCTTCTTCCCCTTCCGCAGGTTACAATATTGATAGGGGTAATTATGAGCATTACCGCGCTGACAATAGACAGTTTGTTTGGGTAAAAAAAAAAAAAAAATAAAATAAATAAATAAAATAAAAACGATCCAAGTGCACATGGAAGAAATACCCCATCCATTGGGATTGTCCATACTTTATTTGTCACCCATTTTCCCCCCCCCTCTGTAGTATCTTCCTGTTGGTAATATCCGTCATCGCGTCATCCTTTAAGTGGGTTTTTACCAATGTTTTGTTAAAATCAACATCCATGAAGCCGCACATCATTTTGTTACACATATACCAAATGGCTATGTTTATCATACGTAAGGATTTGCATGAGAACGTAAAGTGCTTTTGCGCGCAATTGAATTTGCTCCAGCGGGGGTGCGTGTACGTTTTTGCCAAAATGTCCACATAATAAAAATTGTTGCCCCCGCTTTGTAGTTATCCCCACACTTGTGATCGATTTGTCCTGTATTGTTAAAGGTGAGTGTATCGAAAACGTAATCGAGGTAGTTTTCCTTCTAGAAAGGAAGACGTATTATAT